TAACCTGCTGAGCCACTTGCTGCCCCCAGGCAAAAGGATATCGCATCCAGATTACAAACAGGAGAGGCGAGGGGTCTGGGGGATTCCAGCACATCCCTGGAGACCCGAGGATTCAGAATTGTCTGTCGCAGGAGCTCCTTCCTTCTTCCAGTTGGAGCTCCACACTATCACTATGTGGGAGTCTCAGTGCGTGGGCAGTTCAGAGTACTGATTTTTAGGGCTGAAATTAGATTTGCCTGCAATCTGATTTGTGGGAGGGGGAGAGTTTAGCTGAGCTCACAGCTGATGAGCTGAAGACCTGCAGGAAATTAAGCTATTCAAGGAGAAAAACATCTCAATGATGTCATAACTGTAACAAAAAATATGTTTCTGACCTTAGCCGTCGAGGAGAAATTCAATAGCAGGACACAAGATGCTGGTTTGATTCCTGTTCATGTGTGTTAGGCGTGTCATGTGCAGCCACACAGGAAGACAATTACTCATGTTGAAAATGTCATAATGACGGTCATCATCATTAATGCCGTGGTAATCACAATCGATGGATTATCAGAAGGCTATGCAAACACTTCCCCCAAGAACTTTCTGGAACTGGTGCTCTGAGGATCAAGTTGTTGTGACGTTTTTTACTCATCAGACTGTAATTTCCGGCCGACGGCCCACTTGTCTGTGTGCGGCAACCGCTGATGTTCTCAGTAACAGAGCGGCAGCAGCTGCTGCTTGTAATCACAAGTCCAACAGTTTTTCCATTGCATGTCTCGCACCCTCAGATCTGTCTGGCGCTAGTCATGTAAACTTGTGCTTCCATGGTGCTGGCCGAAGCACGACGGGCTTCCCCTGGAATCCGCTTCATATCAGCATTTCTTCCTCTTTTCATGGGCACCATTGGCTCAGATTTATTCACTGGGGACCTCAAGCTTGGGACTCCAATGCTCTGTGATGATGGTCCTGGTTAAAATCACCACACACACACACCACATTCACACACACACACATATATATTTTATATATATATAAAATATATATGTGTGTGTGTTTATATATATATATCTATATATATATAAACTAACTGAACTGAATTAATTTGCATTCCTCCTGCTAGAAGGGTAACGTAATGGATCACGGAGGATGGGAAATCTTTGTAATTGGCGGTTGGGGGGGGGGGGTTGGATTCTGTTGAAGACACTGATGTAATGAGGAATTACAGCTCAATCCTGAAGTCTCTGAGCCACACACTGCCGTTAAGTGTGGATAGGTGACTTCATTGACAGGTTACTTTTTAGCTTGCTGCCTGCACTACTTGCTTGTGCCATATTTTGCCTTAATGAAGAAAAGTTTTAAACAGGGATTAGGTAATGGGAAAGGTGTGTTGTACTGCAGCAATTCCATGCTATGTACTAGTTCTACTTCCTGTCATGTGATCATGACAACCAATGACATGGCAGCAAAGTCAGTGTATAATTTGCATTTGAATAGTTTTTCCCCCACACTTCCAAATTACAGAAAACTTGACTTTGACTTTGCACAAGGAGGTGGGGAAGGTGGACACTGGATATGTTGTGGTTGTATCCCCTTTTCAGGAAAAGATTAGCTAGATCATATAAAAAAGCTACAGTAATTGAAACAAGTGAACAAAATGGGTGACATCTCGAGAGAGAGGTAAAAAGATACGGCCATATATACCAGAACAAAATAAGACTCAGGTGGGAGGAAAGTGCAGAGCCAAGCAGTCATGTGACTCCCTCCCTGGCCAGTCAGCTCCCCTGTGCTTTCAGTCACGTTTCATTATCTCATTCTCCCATCTCATTATTTTCAAGCACCGTGTTGCCGATTTCAGCCTCTCGATCTGGCTGCAGAGACGGTGTCTCCCACCAGCAGGTGCTTATGCTCAGCTCCGTATGCAAGCAACGCGACATCCGGTGCACATACGCGACCCTCGTGTTGGTGTCTGAAAGCTGTTTGCAAAGCCTAATATTGCGCATTTATACATTTATGCCCACTGAGTTGTTCTGGTGATTCAGGCTCGGATTCATTCTCACTGCTGATCACGCTACTATAACCAGCCGGGTTCCTATTTCATTCGCGATATTCCTCGGCCCGCACTTTCCTCTCTCTGGTCTCATAATGCTTCCCTTTCTGCTCTACGCTGCTCCAGAAAGCCTGCGTGACCTTTTTTAGATGGACGAAGGTGAACTGAGTAAAAAGACGGTTACTTGTGTCTGCACCGGCGATGAGTGTTGCAGTGCAATTTCTCCCTGATGACTCATATTTGCTCGAATTGCACAGGTGTCCGTCCTCACAATGACAATCTTAATAACGTGGCGTCGGCGTCGTGTTTTGTTTTGCACCACGAAGGATCGATTATTGAGTTACAGCAGGACATGCGCTTAGTTACACTGGAATGGTCCCGTCTGCGCGTATACAGCATAAAAACTGAAGGGGAAACCTGATAACTGCCTCTCCTGTGTGGTAAACAGTGGCATCTGCTCTCCCTCCCTCTCATAAAGGGTCTTGGAGACAGAGACATGTGCTTAGCAGGTCCTGGAGGTGACGATCTGTGCATCTGGGGTCCATGTGGGTGGCCTCGTCGTGAGAACGAGAGCTGCGTGTCTGTTTGTGTATTGAAATGTTAAGACCTGGGTCTTTCATAGCCGTTCTAGACATTATAGTGGGAAATATTTTCGTATTCTGATATTCATTCCCATATTTCATATATTCAAGTGGCAAGTCGGTCTAATGTACTGATTAAGAACATTGCCTAATTATGTTGCGTTTCAGGCGCATAATGCACAGAGAAAGGCGCAGTTAAATACTTCAAGTAAATGTATAAAAAATAAGTTTCTTTGGATGAGTTAAATATGCTACTTTAACGGTCCCTTTATAATACAGCAAACGGTTATTATGCTCCAAGTCACTCAGTTTTCCTGTTTATATTAAGGTTTTTAACCTTTCTAAAAATCTAATTAATTAAATTCCTTAATTTTTCCTCCTTTGTGTCAACTGGACATTTTATTAATTTACGATAAGAAGATAATTATTCGTCTGTTTTTTGTTTTTATTTTGTAATTTAAAAATTTGTTTGATGTGAAGCAGGGAAAACTGAAGGACATGAGGATGTTATGGCGCGATTATTAAGTATGCGATAATATCAGAGACTGTTTGCCAATAAAGAAGAAAAGTCACGCACCCAAGGGGCCATTTAAATGAGTGAGTCATACAGTACGTGAACAGTGGGACTGGCTCTGCGATTCACCGGGTATCCAGCAGGTGGTGCTCTGGACACTTGGGTAAAGAAATGGGCAGTAGGTTCCTCATCGGCTCTGTGAAATAGGCGTTTTTAAAGCCCAGTGTACCTTTCATGTTATCATTCAGCTGTTCCACTATTTACCAGTAAGAGCCATGCAGGAGTGCTGGAAAACAGTGGCTGGTGAGGGACCCAGCAGCTTTACGGATGTGTTTATATCAGTGTCCGAGTGTCTGACGGCGATTTCGTTTGGCTTTGCTTTCCTGACTCGTGAGTGAGCGTCCACTTACACATCACACCATCAGCGGCCTCCGCGAGGTAACTGCAACCTGCCCCCGCGGAGACGGCTAGCGAATGTGAGATAATTGGTAAATCCGAAAATGAACGAAACACATTGTAAACACGAGTGACAGTTATAAACAGCCACATAATATTCATTAGCTTATGTGAAGCTTCCAAACGGATCACCCACATTGCCATTAATTTAGGTACAATCTGGATATCGTTATTGTGGATTGGCCCCTATTTGGGATTTGAACCACAAACACACAGCTTACGTGTCATTTAGCACCACACTCTCTGCTGTTCAAATATGTAGGCTGATATAATCAGCATTTTCATGCTTCTGGTGTCTTCTCATCATCGGTTTATTTCGCACATATCTATAGGTATTTATGACCATCGCGTGGAAACGACTGTAGCCGGCGTTGCCGTGGCCTTGTCAGCTGACCCTGGGAGCTAAACGAGGTACTCTATTAAAGGAGACATGCCGAACAAGCTCGCCAAAATGAGTCAGCGGCCGCCGCCGGCACGGGGGAAAAAACAGGGAGTCTAAAAATAATCATTCATTTAAAAGTCTCTTTCTGCGTGCCTTTCTGCCTCTCGCTCGCTCTCCTGCCGTGCTTCTGTCTCTCCCAGGACAGAGGTATTTTCAGTGTACTGGGGGGGGGCTAGAGAGACCCATGAAGTCGTGTGCTCAGTTCCAGAGGGGGTGTGAGTCATAGCGCCTGACGATGCCTCGCTGATTTTCGCCTCACTCCACACAGATAACCGCACACAGGGGGGGCGGCACGCAGCCGGGCATTGACCCATCTCACGCCATTTGGACCGCCTGGTGTACTGTCGATCGGGGCTCAAAAAAATAACCAACGCATTGTGATTCATCATATGCTTTCATGTTTAATACAGCTTTTAAAAATATTTTTTACGAGACAGGTACATTACACACAGGTGTGGTCCGGGGGACACTGCAGCGTGTACGTTCAGCTCTGTGCGGGACAGACCGGCAAGCAGGACTCGTGCATTCTGGGTCCATGTCGCTGGCAGACCGCGATCGGCAGCAGCGTTCCAGTGTTTCATTTTCCAGTCGAGCTGAGGACGAAGCTTCCGAAGGCCTCCTGGGACGTGGACCGGGAATCACGAGGCGCCCTTCCTGGGAAAAGCACGATGCTCATGTTTCCGTGACAAAGCCAACATCAGTTTCTTGACGCCATGCTGGCATTTTTTGGCATAAATCTGACGTCGGATGTCCGTGGTAATCAGGACTGGGTGGGGAAGGGGAGCAGGCCTGGGCAGGCAGAGCAGCCGGGGCAGCCGGGGCACCTGCCTGCCGTCCTCCGTCTGCCTGGAGCTGCACCGCAGCTGTCGGGCAGTTTCTGCAGTCCTGGCACGTCCCTCGCTTCTGGTCCCCTTTTTTCTCAATGAATCCGCGGAGCTCCCCCCCCCCCCACCGCCCACACCTCTCCTCCCCCTCCCCCGCCCTCTCTTGAATGAGCGCAGAGGGGAAGAAAGTGGAGAGCACAGCCAACACACCCCTTCGGTGCCTGCAGCAGGTGTAAAGGGCTGAGGAATGAAACGTGCATTCTGATTGGCCGAGGTGTCGTCACATCACAATCCACGTAGCCTCTTGATTGGCCACCCGCTATCCACATTGGTCAGAATATACACAATGCATCCCTCCCACACATATCACAGCTCGTACTTTTGCTACAAGTGGGCAAAAATAAGGAACATTGTCTATTCTCTTTCATTTCTGTAGAAAAATATGAATAATAACAAACAAAAAGAAATATTAATTTAAATAATCAGTACAAAAACAAGAGGGATCCAGCACCGCTGTGTTTGGACCCCTGGAAAAGAAATCCAGCGTTACCTTAAAAGCAAAAAAACATAATAAAATAATCGGTTTATGTAAGATGTTCTCAAAGCACCTCGCCCCTCTGATCCAAGTGCGCTGAGGTTAACAGGCACTTAACAGGAAATTTCCTTATAGACCGCGTTGGCTTCAAGACCCACGTGACCAAAGCAACATCGCACATGCATTCCCCTACAGTTGGAAGTACAAAAACAGCCTAAACACATTTAGGGTCAGCTGATGCCACACGCACCATGGAACACGCGGGAGATGGGGCAACTAGGCACGAGGGCGCCTCTCGATGGCTGGGTGCCTCACTCATTCTTCTGAAATGCAGATGGGGCAGGAAGGCTCTGATGCACAGGCGATGAAGGTTTAATGCACACAAACAGTAATATGTACTTCAGTAATGACGGGAATGAGGAGTCGCCCCCCTGCTGGGGGTGATGTGCTGAGAGGGGTCACACTGAACTGGAACGTGCTGCACAATGTGATTGTACTGATTTTACAAACACACCCACCTGGATGCAGATCAAAGCCTGGCATGAATTATCCGCTTCTCTTACAGACACACAAACACACTCACAGAGTGCATGGTTTGTCTACTCAGGTTCCAGGTGCAACACTTCCAGGTTTGCCAGTTGCAAACTGAGACCCTGATGGACACTTTGACCAGCACTGACACCAGAACTCAGGGCAACACCGACATCAACACTTACATCAGCACTCAGAACAACACTGACACCGGAACACTGACACAAGCACTAAAACTTTGCCAACCTTCATTTACACCCTGCTTGACACCAGCCTTGACCTCAGCATGCTATCTATACATTGTCTCACTTCCCCTTGATAGATCGACCGCCCCCAGCTCATCCACCAACCTGCTCGCTGTCTCTCGCCCCCACATGCAAACCCCCAACGCCCACTCTTCAGTTTCCACCACAGATTTACCCCCAACCAAACCAAGGAAGTGATCCTCTCCGCCATCTCACACGTGCAGAGGACTGGTGCCCGAGGGTGAGACAGGGCTCGGGCGTAAACGCCGGCCAACCCCCTGGGGGCGATCCCACGCTGTCACTAGTCAAAACAGGAAGTGGAATGACGTGGCAGATAATCCCAGGGCGGCACGGGAGTCAGCAGAGCTCCAGATAACCTTCACGCCACTGCACTCAAAGGTACTATGCGTGTGGGCGTGAGAGTGGGGCGTCTCTCAGACACTCCAGCTGGGCTAAGCACCATCCATTGATCAGGCCCAAAAAAGCCCCCTCCCCCCCTCCCCAGAAGCAAATGAGGCGGCTGTCCCACTCCGCAGCTTCTGTCCTCACCCTCCAGTGCCGCGCCTGTGCATCCATCCGCCCCCCTGCACCCCCCTCACAGGGGACACTGCTCAGAGCTGAACTCCCCTTCCTTCTTCTTCTCCCGCTTCATCTTATGGACCCTCCAACAGACGGCGGCGGTCAGAACCAGGACCAGCCCCACACCCAGCAGGACCACCGACACCACCTTGGTCTGCGGCAGGTTGTTGAAGGTGAAGGTGACGCCCGTGCCTGCCACACCGATCACCAGCGATATCACCCCGAAGGGGAAGACGCAGCGGTACCAGGACTTCTCTGTGCCTCCCGTGGCCTGTGCCAGCCGATCCAGCGTAGAGGTGGTCTCAGGGCCTTTGGGCGGGCCATCCTCTGGCGCCCCCTCCTGGTCAGAGGCCGGCAGTGGCGGTGCCGGTGGCCGGCAGGGTGCTTGGCCTGTGGTGCCGCCCATGTCACACAGGTGGGCTGGGGGGCTGCTGCCAAGCTGGGGGGTGCGCGAACTTGCCTCCGTTCCCGTTGCTGCTGACGATGCTGCTGCTGTCAGAATCCAACATTGGCCTGGATGGAAGAAGCATGAAAAGAATCAGCCACGCTTCAGCTTCAGCTAGGGGGAGGCGGGGGAGGAGAGACGATGAGTCTGTGGCGAGCCACTCACTTTCTCTCCCTCCTCTGTGTCACGCTGCTCTGCTCAGAGAGGCCCGCTTCCCTCCAAAGGATCATGGTACGCTCTGGTGTCGGAACACAGCGGCAGAGGAGATATAAGCAGCCGAAGGGCGGGGGAGGAGCCAAAGCTAGGGGAAGGGGGTGGGTCTAAGCACCGGATTGGCTGCTGTTAGAGTGTGATGCCAGAGAGAGAAGCAGAGGAGGGAGAGACAGAGGGAGATGACAGGCGGGAGAGAGGACGGGCTGCGTTAACCGTTTAGTGGCTGTCTCCCCCTTGGTCTGTTTTTTTCTATTTCGTTTTCTCGCCCCATTGAGCACCTGGAGGGTGGCGTCATTCACCAGCGCAGACGCTGCTGTTTCACTGAGACGGGAGGATATTAACGTCCCGCTGAGCGAGTAGATCCCCGGCAGGTGTATGCCTGCTAGACAGCCACGCGGAAATGACAATCGGCTGCCCCAGGCTCCCGGGAACTGATCTGCTGAGCAGGTACAGATGCACGGACACATGGCTGACATATTGTATGACACATGCTTCCAAGAAGAATGCAGCTCAGTGGGTTTGGACACCATGCCTGTGATCAGAAGGTTGTCAGTTCAGTTCCCAGTGTCAGTGTCACCATTGTGCCCCCAATCGCCACCTGGGGCTGAGCCACCCGCTTCTGTTGGCTTCTGTTAGCTCATTACGGTTTCCTACCCTTCAGGTCACTAACTAAAAACTGCCAACTTTGAATCAGCTTTAAAGTAAGTGGTTTTAAATGATATTTTAAGCTCAGCTGTTTTCATTTATGTTGTGCCCTGAAAGCTGGCCTCTCGCTTTAAAGGCTGCTTTAAGTTCAAATTAACAGAACAGAGCATTAAACTTAATTATTAGAAACATAGATGTCATCTAATTCTGCCAGAATATATCTCACCGGTGCTTTGTTTGCAGGAGCCGTTAATTTCAGTAGATATTTTAAAATGTAAATGAATTACTGGACCGCAGAATCCCAGAGTTTGCATACATACACTGAGAAATCCTGGGCGGAAATTAATTATTAAACGGAGATATTGTTTAAAATATGCTGCTCTGAGCACTGAATCTACTGTATGTGATGTCCGGAGGGCTGTGCATCTGTGTGTATAAGTGAAATAGACTATAGAATAGAATTATTTATTGTCATTATACTGCATTAAACTGCATGCTTTCGTATGTTACATACTAATGAATTTATGAAAATTAATTAAATAGTACTATTACTATTACTACTACTACTAATAATAATAATAATAATAGTGTTCAGCAGCTATGTTGCTTGGACCCCTAGGAATATATACAATATAGGTGCAGTAGTGTGAACGTAAATTCATTTTAGAAACAGTAAATGTAACAGTGAAGGTTAAAAAAACAGCAGTGGTCGTGTGGTTAAACGTGAAGGGGTTGAATCTGTGGGAGAATGCGCGTTTGACAATGGGTTACGTCATCTGGTGCGATCAGGGAAACCCCGAAGCCCGGAGGCACACGGAGGCACACGGAGGCCTGCTCACCTAACCCTGCTCAGCGGGTTTAGGAGTCACGGAACACCTCCTGATGGGGGGCGCCACCTGCTGGCAATGCGTCGCCTCGCAACTCGCAGGAGACGGTCCTGCATAGTCCCGCGGTGTCTTCGAGGTGCTCCGATGTCTAGCGACAAACGAGGTCTGGAGAATCACACGCATATTCACCGGAACGTCAGCGGATTCAGAGGCGTTGGCAGCGGCAGCTTCGGCACGGAGTCACCAAAATGGGAATCAGGGGATTCGTATCTTCCTCTTCATGTGAAGAGTAACTAACCCGGACCGCTTGAGGGGGGGCGGATACCGGACCAGGGGTTCGGAGAAAATTCAGAGCGGCAGGAATGGAGGCCTGGAGCTTGCGCTCGCACGGACGAGTAAAGAAACGGGGAGGAGTGATATGGCCAAACGAGGTGGCAGTGGCGGGATAATGAAAATCAGAACGAGTGGAGTAAGGACTGTGAAGATGCAAGAAAGAAATGGAGATGGGGGCTGATAATGGGGTGGAAGGGGAAATAACTACATGGAGTCAGAGGGGTTATTATCAAACAGAAATCATCAGATAAATGAAAAAGGAGAGTCAAGGAGAAAAGAGAGGGATCAGAAGGACTAGGCAAAAGAAAGGATAATAAAAGAGATGATGCACTGAAGAGAGAATGGCACCAGTGAAAGCTGGGGAGAAGTGTAATGGAGCGACAGGGAAAAAGATAGAATGATGAAAGGAGAGAGACTGGGCGTGGGGGGGGGGTGTAGGAAGATATAGATTTAGCAGGCAGGAGGATGGGGTGAGAGCTTTATTATATTGTGTATTACAGTGCAGGATCACTGCACCAGTGCAAATGGCGCCAGGGGCATGCTGGGAATGGGGGATGGTCAGGATGACAGATGGCCCCAAAATGGACCAGCTAAGCTGGCCCCGGTTACCTGAGAACCCAGTCACCCCATCAGACTGTATCCAGGTGCCAACGCTTACATTTATTTATTTATTTTGCTTTCGGGGTGCGGCCACTAGGGGGCCTCACGTTTAATCACCTCCCAAAGCTTAGCCGCTGGTAGTCCGAAATTTAACTACAAGCACTCACGACACTTTAGCTTTCGCAAACCTTGAAATCAACTTGAAATTCTGTGAGACACAAATAAATGTTTGTGGTACATTAGGTAGCACAGTGGTTAAAGGCAACGAGGGTGGCTTGTTTTACTCTGTATAAACGGACATCATGCTCTGGATTTACATCTATATGAATAATATTGTTTGCTATGCAATCGCTGACGCGATTCCACATGCTAATGAATGATGGTGTAACTCTTCTTCGAGGCAGAGACTAGGCAAAACAGCGCAACGTGGGGGGAAAAACACTTTTAAAATTGTCGCCAATAAGAAGCCGAATAGGCGACTCTGCTGATGCAGTGTGTGTTTGCGTGCGTCAGCGGTCACTGGGCACATTAATTAATCGGCTCACAGACCCGCAGCTCGTAATGGGACACACTCAGCCGCCGGTCTCAGTCACGCCCCACTTAGGGAGCTCTGGGAGTAGGTGAGTGTCATTTACCTGTCACAGCTCGTATAATGGAAGAAGTCTGTGTGTAGGAGAGAATGGACACCAGGAACAGAAAGGGAGAGAGCTATATAGGCCTACAGTTACTCGAAATGATTCAGGTTGGTCAATATAATTTATTCCTTGATTGCTGTAAAAGAAATAAATATATAACAAAAGCATGATAGTGTGTCAGTTAATTACATAAAACCCATCGATCCATCCTTCCATTTATTCTCCTTCCATGTACATCTGATGAACAGGGAACGTCTGGAGCTTAGCAGCCCAACCTGCAGACAGCACAGGGCACTAGGCAGGGGTGCACCGCGGACAGGAGGCGGGGCTGCTCGTTTTTGGACTGAGAGAAAAGTAGCACGATTTGTCCGAGAATATTGGAAGAATATGAAGATATGAGAACTCCACAGATGCAGAGCGGAAGCGGGATTCAAACTCCCGTGATTAGCGCGCGCATCGTGCAGCTCAGATCTGCTGCTTGCACACTAATCGTCCCAGTTGGCGAAATATTACCCCAATGCCATCCCAGTAAAATCATTTGGTCTGGCTACGCCCCTGCAGCTTAAAGACCCCTGAGCTCAGGTGGACTGGGCCCAGTTGTTCAAACAATTTAATCCAGATCAAAGTAATCCAGATTTTGAAATCCCTTGTTTTGCTATCCAGGGTTTGGTAATCCATTTTACTTTTATGCTGGTTTTTCAAAGCAACACTGGATTGGATCACTGTTATCCAAATACAGAATTTTCAGGATCCCGAATCCGGTTTACTAGTGCATTAAATGGAACCAACAGTGTAGCCTACTGGCTTTGTCAAGAACAACAGGTAGACCTAAAATACCAGTGGCCACACACAGCCATTATGTTTTTTAATTTGAACAAACAGAAAACACCACAATAAACCAGAGCAACCTCCAATGTTCTCTCCAAATGAGGGACGGACTGGACCTGTGGTCAGGGACGCATGAACATGGATCCATCATGCCTTGTTACCACTGTGCAGGCTGGTGGTGGTGGTGTAATGGTGTGGGGGATGTTTTCTTGGCACACTTTAGGCCCCTTAGTGCCAATTGGGCATCGTTTAAATGCCACGCAATGCAAGCATTGTTTCTGACCATGTCCATCCCTTTATGACCACCATGTACCCATCCTCTGATGGCTACTTCCAGCAGGATAATGCACCATGTCACAAAGCTGGAATCATTTCAAATTGGTTTCTTGAACATGACAATGAGTTCACTGTACTACAATGGCCCCCACAGTCACCAGATCTCAACCCAATAGAGCATCTTTGGGATGTGGTGGAACGGGAGCTTCGTGCCCTGGATGTGCATCCCACAAATCTCCATCAACTGCAAGATGCTATCCTATCAATATGGGCCAACATTTCTAAAGAATGCTTTCAGCACCTTGTTGAATCAATGCCACGTAGAATTAAGGCAGTTCTGAAGGCGAAAGGGGGTCAAACACCGTATTAGTATGGTGTTCATAATAATCCTTTAGGTGAGTGTATATATCATCAGCAAACATTGCTTTTGTGATTATTTAATTTTGTGCCAGAAATCCACCCTTGGGTTGGGATTTTTTGGATCACATGTATCCCAATCCAAACACAAACTTTTGAACAACACAAACTGAAGGTTTGATCCAGATTAACGCCGAGATTGGATTAGGTGATCTGATCTGATCTGATTTCAGAATCCCACTTTTCCCTTTGAACAAGATTCAATCCAATCCGTTATCTGAAATCCCACTGGATTACTTTTGAACAACTGGGCCCTTAGAGAATGAATGTGTGAATGACACGAATGCACATTTTGTGTCTGCTGTCAAAAGAACTCTCCTAAATATTTATAAGCTCAGTGTTTGCATGTGTGAGAGTAATCTTATTTAAAATTAAAAGTCATGATTCTATTAAATTTGGCCTACAGTATTGCAATTTAAACAAAAATTAATTCGAATTAGGGTAAATCGCCGGATAAATG